TTAAGAAATGATCAACGTTATAGAAAGAAACGCATCATTTTTATGGTATTAGTCGGCCCAATATGGAACACAAAGGAAAATGGCAAAAAATAGACCCTGACGAATTATCTCTTACGTTTCACAATTCATATTAAAATAAATTAAATTTTCGATATAATTGTAGATTCAATAGAACTAAAGATAAGTGAGCATTGCAATTAATTGACCTGTTCACATAATCAAAATTTCAATTAACTTAAACGAATTTATAACATAAAAAGCTGGGAGTTGACTCAAAAATAAATCAACATTGCTGATGCTTAATTATATTGTGGGGAAATTGCAGTAAAGTTAATATATTGGATGACTACTTTCAGATCTAATCAACAAATTTATTATAGATTATATTAGAGAATTTAATGAACCTTAAATTGTACAAAATTAGATAGTAAAAAGGTAAAATAGTGACGAAAAGAAGTTTCACTGTTAATAACTTAATGCAAACTGTATAAACTATAAAAAAATAATATTTAAATGAAAATGTTAAGTGAAATGTTAGTTGCGTAATTGCTTTTTTTCTATTGTAAAAATAAAATATTATTTTTGTTCTATTAAATATTATGACTGACATTCGTAATGTAAATCAATTTTTAACTTGTTTTATTATTGAGAAAAGATGGGACATGACTAACCAAAAACAAGAAAAGTGGTAAATAATAAAAAGTAAAACAAGTCAAGTTGTAATGATATATGATAATAAGTAACTAAATGATGGGTAGATGTGCATGGTTTAGCCAATCGCAGAAAGAGGTTGATAATACGTCATTAAAAAAAATGAGGACGAATAAAAAGTACATTTAGCAAAACTTAATTTCAATCATTAATTAAATGGTTTATTTGCTTATTCATCTGACTAATTTTTTTTTCTAAAACAATTAATTATTTAACAATAATTTAATTATTGATATTACTAATAGAATATAAATTATAAAAAAGTGATTGTTTGGCAAAAATTCAATGATATAAGACAATTAGTGAATGAGAATATTTTTATTATAACATTACTACTACAATTTCATTAATGTTTAATTTAGTGTAATGATGAATTTAACAAAAATTTCAAGTGGAAACTTTCAAACTCAATAACTACTAATTAGTGGATAGTAGTATGTTATTGACAAATAAAAATGATTTATTGATTAAAGAACATGACTTGACAACTCTGAGTTGTGTGTTCTGTTATATCAGTATACCCACAACTGTATGCATAGAAAATTGAATTTTAACTGATTTCTACACTTTTACAAAACAGGAGATTTAAACTTTGAGTGAAATCACAAGAAAATTTAAAAGATATATTTAACAGAGCGACTACCAACTGAAATTATTATAATGTTTTGCATAAAAGAATGTAATATTTTTAAGTAACGTTATGATGGCGATTAGTAGTGAAACTCACAATGAGCGTGTCACTTTATTTTAGACTCGTCAGCTTGGTATACCTTTTTATTCTTAGCATAGAGACTTGAACCCGGTACCTCTTGCTTCAAAAACCCAATATGTTAGCCATTTTGGCACTTAGTTCAGGCAGTCACTATCTTTTACAACTTAATAAGACCTGAGAGTAAAATCTTTTGTTATAACTTGTTGTTTGAATGCTTATTGTCTCGGCTCTTTTAATGCTACTTTTTGTATCTGGTCGTCGCTGATTGTTATGTCGGAAACGCTTATCACTTATACTCGGAACGAGGGACCTCTACAATCCCCACGACGCGAAAGTAAGAATACAAAGACTGGTATAAGTGATTTACTAACCCAAAAACACGACGACGACTATTCTAGTAGAAAATACACTCATTTATATGTTGATTGTACACCCATTTTGAATAATAATTAGAATGTAATCACATATATGAAAAATAATTAGTTATAAGAAATCACATACTGAGCATAGTTCACGTCAATCGAATACAAGAATATCGCATATTATACAGAATAAAATATCATACGACAAAAGAAAACAAATACTACATTGAGTAATCATTACATTGAATCAAAACAGAAGTAGTGTTGAATAAAACTCATAATGAGTAATTCAATCGAAAATTGACTTTTCTTTCCATCATATCACCTTTCCGTTTGCCGGTCTCGCTGATCATAATTGATCGATCTCTTTTGATAAGTGTGAATTTTGAGTGCATTGTCTTGATAGTAACATTGATTAGCAAAATGAACGATATCCATGACCTAATTTCCGCTTCTAGACACCAAAAAAATATCGTTTAGAAATGACTGTGACTCAAAAGCACGATTGCAAAAACACTCTCAAATGTACATATTGCTAAAACAGTTACTTCATATATTCCAGAAGTGCTGATAACATTTCAAGAACCACAGAATGATCTTAGTAATATATATATATATATATATATATATATATATATATATATATATATATATATATATATATATATATATATAAATTCTCTAAACGTTTCGACTAAAAGGATAAATAAACTGATAATAAGCAATTATTTTTGTTCGCACTCAAAGAATCTAAAGTTCCAGTGACCATTCATTACTTATAAAATTCAACCGAATCAAAAGTAATATAATCCTCGTAGATGAAAACTGGGTTCTATTCTCGGTTGATTGAAGCTGCCGATCATGCTCACTACGTTTCAACTCATTAGGCAGTAGAAAACGAGACTTTAAAGCTGATTCACCATTCAATTCTGTATCAAAACTGAACCAATTTTCACTAATTAGAGGATTGGTTCTGTTCTTTCACTAGCTCTGTGTGACTAAATGTTCATAATTATAAGGTGTTATAAGAAAGTAAGAAATATAAACGTAATCAGATAGAAATAAACTAGATAATTTCTATCAATGGTATAAAAGTCTTATTGATCCCAATGTTCACAAATTATTGTTTTATTTTTCACTAGTTGATTTGTGAAAGTTTTTCAATTTGTACTGAAATTATCAACTGATCAAGCTACGTAATCGTTAAGAAACTGTAAGTACTGGACAACTATTTTGTCCTAACATGGATACTTCTCCACGGTAGGCATCTACGACTATACCACGCAATTTAGTTTCTACTTCATTACGCATTTATCTATTATAATTCAGTAGTGAGCTTATTTTACTGTTTTTGTATAATAATAATTATATTTTCCATAATTTTTACTTTTTATATTGACAATCAACAAGGATTTTTTTCACTAGTAAGTATAAATTAATACTAAACTCGACTATATAGATTTCTACAGCTGAATAAATAATAAAAAATTTATGTAAACAGAATGAAAGGCAGAAACTGACAAATAAGTAAATAAATACAATGTGATAAGATGACGAGAATCGAGTATTTTTATTTCATTCCTTACACAAATTACTGTTCATTTTATAATCTATAAAATTTGAAGAAGTAAAAACTACAGTTCGTTTTTTATAACAAGAATACATATTGGTCGAATGATGTTGAACATTTTTGTAGTAAGTCGTTTCTTTCAAGTAAGAAAAACACAACTAAATGAAATCAGTCATGTGATCAGTGTTAGTCATCAAATAAAAATAATCACGGAGATGTGAATTTGTTTTAACAATAGTTTGTTTTAAAAAGAGAAATGAAAGTCTGACTCCAGCTAAACATCCAAGGAACTTCTCACTATTACATACGCATGGAGGACAAATGATGGAAATTTGCAAATAAATTATTCAGTATATGGCTCTCATATTTTGCCAAGAGATTCTGTAACTTATTGTAAACATACAATTAGTTGTCCCAAAAAAGTGTTTTCATTCATTACACTACAAACAAAATACTAACATCTTTATAACAAAGCTTTAGATAGACAGAACTGTAGTGATTTTGTAATAACCTAACTTATAAATTACTAACTTTCATTCCTTATCATATTTCTTACTGTATACAATGTGAGTTGTTTTGATTTTGAAAATTACATACAACTCTTAAACAAGTACTTGTAGATGAACTCATGATTGGATTGTAGCAGCCGCTGTCTTATTGCTAATATCAATTGATTACGTCCAATTCAGCAGAGGATGCTGTTAGTATTCCTTAGCTGGTTAATCAGTAGGATTTGATCGGTATTAAAAACTAGACATACAAGCACATCTCACTACGAAAAACTAAACTAGTTCTTAAGCCTTTGTATCATATATACAATAAATCCCACTCCAAGTAAGAGGACGGTGATATCTCAGAATAAAAAGAGGATAGTATGATCCTACAAAGAGTACCGACACATTTAACCCAGATTCCTTTTAATAGCAAGTGCTAACTAAGGTAAGACTTAAGTACAGAGCTTCTCAATAAACACCAGGAACCACTTAACATCAAACTATTAACTTTATTATTACCGGACATTTCATTTTTACTGTAATTCCTGGTTGTTTGTGATACAGTGAGACAATAAGATGTAGTAAAAAGTCAACCGATGGCAATCAGAAGTTACCTAAGAGTCAAGTACATTTCATTGAATTCAATTTCCTAAGGATTAGAGTGACATATATATGAATAAGTATATGTGCATTTCATTCTGTAGTCCAATGCACTCTCTCGCTCAAGATTTCAGTTGGGGGAGGTAGCCCAAATCATACAAACAGATCTCAGTCAACTACTGTAAAATAACAACCACCAGACAACTACTTCGTCCTAGCACTGGGATCTCTTCCGTAGTTTTCGAGGCCCAGTAACTGACGCTGGTTTGATTGTACGAAAATGTTATGATTATAAATCCTCCACTGAACTTATCTAGATCAAAAATCACAGATTATTTAAGCACATTACTCACATAATCATGACTAGCTTATCGACTACTCAGTCTGAATTCAACTTATCAGTTATTAGTTTTAGACAGATTGTACACTTGTTCAGTATATATTGGTTGCATAAGGGCTTGAAATTAATTTAATAAAAGTCCTATAATGTAAACATTAATTACTTGGTTAATCGTCGAAATTGTGTTTGGTCTCTTTTTATTCTCTTGTAGAAAGAGTATCTTATGCTTGTTGAGAAGTGTATGAATTTTGCATGTGAAATGATGGATCTTTGTCGGGGTACACAAGAAGTTGAAGCGGTTATCTCAGATTTCTTAGAAGATGGAACAAATATCCGCGATCCACTCGGTCGTCTACGACTTGCTATACGCTTCGAGGAGAAAAAGGTATAACTGCTGGAATTATTATTAAATTGTAATAATCTGAATATTCCCTACTCTTTTTATATCATGGTTTCTGTTTGACTGGGTTATGCTCTTTTAATGATGTTTTACTTTCAACTAATTTATAAAATGGCTTCCAAATGCAAGTTTTAATGTCGTCATACGAAAACTATATCTCATTTAAATTAGGCATATATAAATATCGTTGACAGTTATGTATCATTATCAGCCATACTGCGTCACAGAAATATAATCAATAAGTCATTACCCTTAAAAAATTGTAATAGTTTATTTAGTAATGTCATCAAAAATTTCAACATTGATTGTCAGATTGTTAAGATAAGTAGACTCTCTCCGGATTCAGTCATCTTAATGTCTCCAAAAAACATAAACATGATGATCTTGTGATAACTGTAACATTCTTAGATCATTGACACAGACCGGTAAGCGAAGGTTGCAACTCATAATGTGTGTTATTTATGATTCATTGGGCTACCAGCTAAGTAATTAAGTAAAAGGAAATGCAAGTTTTGTGGTGCAAACATTTCAAAAAATCTGTTTTTATGTAGTGTTCTAATTTATGAACATATATATTTGAAGATAGATGGACGAAGATATACATTTTGTCATAAAATCCCAACTTACGCTATTCATTGAAGAAATATAATGTCCCTAATCTATATATCTTACTAACAACTTCCATGCGTCAATAATTTAGGGACATTTACTGGATTTGTTTCACAAGTAATCTCACTTTTTGATTGAAAATATGAACTGATTAAAGCTAGACCACAATTGAAGACCTAGAGGTACTGCTGATTCATCCTAGTATAGGACTCCTCAGCAGTGTAGATCCATGGTCTCGCAAGCGGAAATCGGACCCAGGACAATCGGTCTCACATTCAGATGCTTTACTTCTAGAACTCTGTGTTAATATCTGTCGTCAAGCAATTCACAATATCGAGCAACCATGTTCATTTATTTTCAGTGAGTAACTAACTCATAACGGAAACATTTTAGCTTCGCTCATCACTCTTTACATTATTTTGGGAAATGAAACATTCTTTTAGATAAATTACGTACCAACAATATTTTCAGATTTGTGTCTGTGTATTTTAATTTTAAAATTTCTGATTCCAAGTTATTCGCTTTTATGCAATAGACTTTGGTAACTTTGTTGTAATTCAGTACTGTACACTAATTCAAAATAGTTTTTTAGTCAGAACAAGGAATTATACTTTGAGTTTTTCCTAAGTTTTGATCAATAATAGCAAAGTTGTTGACGACTAAAATCCCAAACAAAAACCTTTCGCAACTATATTACAGAACAGATTACTTGTTTCAATCAAAGACATATTTGTTGTACACTATCAATATTGATAGTGATAAATGTTTGCAAGAAATTATTGATTAATCCATTGCTTCGCAAATCAGATATTACTAAAGTATAAAATATGGAATCAGCTCATAAAATCATAGATTATTTGAAATATCTCATTCCTGGCTGATAACAGAGATTGGGATAAAATTCCTTATCTATCAGCTGCTTCCGCTAAGTAAAAGCAGCTCATCAACTGTAATTTCCCTGGCATTTCAATAAAAAAGTCAAGGAGACATTTTTAACAAGATCTAAGTTTTTAAAAATATGCTTCTATAACTGTTTATACAGTAACAACAATGAAGCTGAAAAAAAGTAACAAAATAATGCATCAAAAGAGAAAGTAACCAGTTGGAGAATAACAATGATCACTGTAATAATTATAAAATATATGTGATCATTTACCTGGTTACTATAAACTATTAAGAGAATAAAAAAATTGGTTGATTAAATCCTTACTAGTGCTATCAAACTGAAAATTCATAACAGAAAAAGAATATATCAGAACAGTAAGTTGACTTGAAATTTATCAAAATGGCTTCAATGTACTATCAATTCTTTCTTCCAATATACTATTTGATTATATAACAATTTATCTAATTTGTTCATCATATTAATTCACGTTTTTTTGTTGTTGTTGAATATACCCTTATTTTTGTTTAAAATGTGACAATGTAACTAAATCCATAAACCATATCTTCTATGACGAACTGATTAAAACAATTGTCCATACAGTGTTTGCTTTATTTAAGTTTCATTTCACAAATCAATAAAAATCAACTGTAATTTCACAAATGGATATACTACATTCATTCGAATAAACATATTTTAAGAGATACTATTGATCATATAATCTTTATTTGTAACTAGGAAAAAACAATCAATGGTAAATTAAATGATTACTGATCACGAAAAATATTCAAATGTCAACTGACTAATCATAAATGGCAAACAAATTCTGAAAATATTTCTATGGAACAATCAAAATATTTTCAAATATTCGTTCTTTTTTCTCTTCTTTTTTTCTAAGAAAAAAAAGCGTACTCATTCCATGTCATTATTGTAAACTGTGGCATTCAATAAGAACCATTTATAAATTAACTAAACTTCAATAAAATGAGGTCTCTTTGTTTTTCTTTTTTAGAAAAGTTAAAAAATATAATTAAACTATTTAGTTTGTTCAATAGTTTTAAATAAAATCAGTCTAATAAAAATGAAGTTAATATTATTTATAAGATTGTGAAAAGAAATTAATATTAGTTATTCAGTACAGGAATATGTTAATCTCTCATAGGAAAAATTAGACAGATTTCATCAATACTAGAAATTTTGTTTGATTAGTCAAACTTATAAATGGATTATCAATGTGTTTATAGTTATAAAATAAAACTTTATATAAACTGAAATTTCAAATATTGTTAGAGTTGACATCCAACTTGAGATTTGTTAGGTCCAGATAAACATAATGAGTGGTAACTTTTGGATCCTTTTATGTACCAATACTAAACGTATATTTTTATCGTATATTTGTTAAATAACTAAGCTATTCATATTCATGTTCCTCTTATTATAAGCTTTATTTTGGCTTATGAACCAATATTATACGTTTTACCATTCTTGAATTATGCCCCGTCTATTAGTCACTGCCTCACACATTCACAGCCAGGTTTGGTCCATAACAAGAATAAAAACTATTACTTAAGTTTCAGCCAAGTTCGCATAGTGCTCAGATGTTTGTACCAAATATCAGTATATAATAACCAATATTTCTGTGTTTAGTTAGTGGTTTTAATCAGATATCATCTATCAAGTGGCATTGTAGTCATTAATTTGAGAAAGTGCTTTAACTATTATGAATGAGATATAAATTATACATTTCAGACTTATAACAAAAATGGAAAAATGAAATGTGCAGCTCATATCGAAGCAGGTGATTTATTTAGAGGGCTATTACCCGAGCGTTTCAGGCAGATGTCCCATTTACAGCTCAGTGAGGTTCGACCAAAAGATGTTATCCCATGGTACCCAGTGATCAATAATAAGTTCATATCATATTATCTCTCTCAGAATAATACAACCTATGTTGAATTTGAGTTCAAGTATGTTGACGACAATTCACCTTTTGAAACACGGGTTTTGGTAGCCTGTACACGTGTTACTAATATCGTTTCAGTAATCGCCATATCGTAGATTTATTCGCGATGCTGATATCGGGTGAAAAAAAGAGATTAAGTCAGTTTATAACATGGTGCCTAGATATAAATAACGCTTTATAAAGTTGGCATCTTTCCGTCTATCAACACCCTCTTATTTGGTTTGTAAAGATGAGGTTATTCAATTGCTTCATACTTTACCAAACATAACTCATAACGAGAGCCAGTTGTCGTTTTTTTATATTCTTCATTGTAATGAGAGAATGTTCTGTAACTAAAAGTTTTCCTCACGTGGGTTTTTTTTAAATGATTTGCTTCTTCTAATACAAGTATTTCTCACTTACTCATTTCTATTCATTGAATCATTTGTTTACACTCCATCCGCTGGCTCTATCTGTCAACAACCCCATCTTCCTACTTGTGTGGTGCATATTTGTCTCGGTCACCACATGCACACCAATATTTATGAGTTTAAGTGTAGTGAAATAAACCGTAAATGACCACTTGGTTCACCTGCTGCATTGTAAAGGAATTCTAAATTCGAATGAACTAGGTGTTTCAATTTTTGATGGATGCATCCTTATTTCGAAGATATTGAAATTAGTAATTACTATTATCAAATAAATAGCTTAATGTTATCGCTTTTTAGTTTATTTGAGAAGAACTGATGAATTCAAGTAAACTTTAGCAAAGTTTCAATGCAAATTTCTTTGACATGTAAACGTTTACGATAAAGTTTACAAAACAGTTACAAAAATAAATCAATAAATATGATTACATGTATTAGTTTCTGAAAAAAGTATAACTTCTGTGATTTCATCAATCAACATACATAAAATTAGATGTGAAATCAACATTTTAAAGATGAACACAATGAATTACTAATGAACAATAAGTTTTATGAGTTCTCGACTTCGTGTGATTTGTAAATTGACGAACGACGAAATCAATTTTGTATTATTTATACAATTTATTCTCAACCTTCTAAAAACACTTTAGTATCATTAAACATGAAGAAAAATATTCACAATACATTACTTAATATTTAATTATTAACCTATTTGTATCAGTCATCATTGACAAGTAAGTACGTTTACACTGTTAATAGAAAATATAATTAGTAAAATGAAAATGTTCAATTTAATTCTACAAAATAATTGAAATGTGGTGTGTGCTACTTATATTGACATAAGTAGTATATGATGTAAGTCGTAAACAGAGATCAAGCATTAAAGAATAGAAACAAAATGCAATTTATATGAAAATGCAAGTCTGAGTCATTTTGAGACAATTGGTGGACAATTTGCAAATTAAGCATTAACTTTGTGATTGTTAGATTTTATTAACAAGTCCTGTATTTTTGTGTTAAATAAATTCGATTGTCCCCCCTCCCAAAAAAATGTAGTGAACAAGAACACCAGTGGAGATAAGTTCAATAGATATGCTACTTTATGTAGATATAGTATAATGAATTTAAAGAAAATATGTATTTATTTAAAGCATAGTTAAAGTAATATAATTCGATATGTTATTCTCTTCTACTCAATTTTATTTTATGGGATATATACATTTAAGTATTGATTAGGAATTCAAAAAAGAGTATATGTAAATTTCATTTCTAGATTACTTTGTTGTTATTACCGCTATGTGGTTATTCATTGACGTTATTATTTTTTAACAATTATTTCAAAAATGAGTAAATAAAATTAGCTTCCTATCCCCGTTTCTTCTAGTCGCCCACCATAACAAAACACCCACCTCTACATATAAACACATGTACAGAGAAAAGAAAAAAGCACTTCCCTTTAAAACAAGGATTAAATTTCATTCTATAGATAATTTCGATTGAATATATCAATGTTCATTAATTGTATATTCGCCTATCCTGGCCTTTGTTTTTAATTGTTCATGTTTACTCATTAGTTAGCTGACTAGTTGGATTATCTGCTTGCTTGCTTATTACCTCCTGACTTGTAAATCCTATCATGTATAAATCAGGAAACTAATGAGATAAGAAAATTTCCTACAGATAAGTATAATTTTAAGAACATGATTACAATATGTAAATCTGTCATGAGAAAATTAACAGTCTAACTCATCAACATAAATAAATGTAGCTCTATGTACATATATATATATATATATATATATATATATATATATATATATATATATATATATATATATATATATATATATATATATATATATATACAATCTCGGTATGTATCTACGTTTGTAAGTATGTCAAAGCGATCATGATAACAATAATCATTCCGACTGTTTTCACTTCCGTCGAATTTTATTTCAAGATAGTTAATTATATATATATTACAGTCGCTACTATTATTTGTATTATTGCTGGCAATCTTTTAGAGCATAATCTTATTTGGAGAGAAGATCGTGTTAAAATAATGAAAATGAGAGGAAACAAAGAAATCTCGGCAAATTAAATAATGGTTCTTAACAGTTTCTATTCTTCAAAAATCCAGTTACTCAATCTCTTTTCTTTTCTTTATATGTATATATATTTATATGAACATTCTTTAAAATTAGACGAACTTTATTGAAACTTGCACAGAAACATTTCATCCCCTGATGAGTTGTTGTTGTTGTTATCGGTGCTGTCGTCGTTGTCGTTGTTATATTTTCATATTTCATTAATAGTAATCAAAGTAGATAAGAAAAAAGAGAACGAATTGAAACAAGCAAATCAATGATAGGAAATAAAAAATGAATAATTAGGATTTCTGTATAAGAATTTATTATCAAAGAATACTCAATTATTTTGATAACATTCATCAGGATACTACTTAATATGATATATATATATATATATATATATATATAAAGCTCTGTTGGTTTCATATGTATCAATTAAACTGTTCATTACATTAAAATGAAAGTCGATCATGATAACTGTTAGAAAGTGTAGAAAGTTCAATAAGATTTTTTGCTTCAATGAATTTGCGAAAATGAAATGAATCAGATTATTTGGTTGGGAATATTTTCTGTAGAAAAAAGAATCAGTAATGAGTATATTTTAAAAAATCCAAAGAAATGAATCCTTAGTGTTGTAAATCCACACTACTATTATGGATAGGATATGAGCAATTTAAATGTTGTGTAAAACATATGATAATTGAGTCACTGAAGTGAAATTTGTTAGTTCATATTTTTAACCTGTTTTAAATTAAAAGCATAGGAAAATAGAAAACTTATCCAATTAGTATGTTAATATATTTTGGTGTGTGCTAGTGATGTCGATAAATGTAAGTAGTATGTATCATTAATCAAAAATGAAATGTCTGGCGGCAGAAGGTTAAGACGATCATAGAAGAGTAGACGAGACCAGAGAAGGATTGCTGTGAAAAGGAAGGAACAGTGAAGTCTAAGACGATTGATTAATATTTACAAAAGGAACAGTCAAGTTTCAGACAATTGATTGACATTCTGCAAATTAAGTATTTACTGTATTGTTCTCAAATTTTACTTAGAAGTTTTGTAAATTTGTGTTCAACTACATTCTATTGCCTCCACTGTGTTCTTCTTCACTACAGTGTCAGTTTAAATTTACTTGATGCAAAGTACAAAAGCTTTACAGTAATCTTTTACAAAACTGACCCGCAAGCTAATTATTATCAAGCGTTGTGGTAAAATCTGAACTTAAATCAAAACATCATTCCCATACTTCTTGATTTACAATAATCTCCCAACTAATCTTTATCTTTAGTGTAAACTATTTTCAACTTCAACTGGTTACAAATTCCTTCCCTTAACTATTTAAACAGTGATATTTATAACTTGGATAAGAAAAAGAGAATTCAGCGAAGAAAATTTTCTTTTCGACGAAATCATTTACTTAAGCTGTACATTCATATATATAGTGATATGGAAAATATACAGAAAATGTATAGCTTAAGTAAATGATTTCGTCGAAAAGAAAATTTTCTTCGCCGAATTCTTTTTATTTATAATTTGATTAAGAAATGAAAATAGTTTACCTCAATAGAATTATTCATTTTAAATGAAAAAACGAGTCATCATTGGTGAATGAACAGACTTTAAAAGGCATAAAAATTAGGAATCAATTGATTTCGTCAATAACTATCTTCAATTCATTTTAGTTGTTGAAAAGTATTCTAAATTTATTCATATATACCAATTATTATTAATAATGGATTTAAGCACTAAGTTGATAGGAATAATAACTTATTTTCAATTTGTTTTTCTTTTTTTCTTATTTCCCATCACCTTAACCCCCGAACCCCGACCAGTTTGTTGCTCATCCAAACTGTCAACAATATCTTACTAGTATATGGTATGGATCAGAAACAGCTTTTCTTCAATCATGGTCATTAATTAGAAAAATTGGTCTTTCCATAGCTGCTACACCGTTGCTTCCATTATTCTGTTTAATATACATTATACTACCTACCTCGAATGTACGTGATAAACTACTGATTTTTAATTTTCATTTAATGTTATTTTCCCTCCAAAATTTGTATTATAAATTGATTTTAGTTCGGCAACCATTGAACATAACCAAATATTGGATTTCTGTTTCATTCCAGTATAGAACTCCTTGGCAGTAGCGTGCATGACCTTTAGACCACCGAGTGAGCACCAAATAGTGTACATTTTTAACCTCGGTTAATTCGCAATATTGTGAGACCGGTGTTTGATGTCATTAATGTTTAAATGACTCATAGTTGGCATTGCTGAATCCTCGAGTTACGGCTTATAACTGAAACATCTGTTAAAATTAACCTCTAACGAGAACGTGATTTGGGTCCCTATAGAGGGTTTATTGAGATTTATTGAGTTCATAAAATGGACCAGTACTTAATACCTGTCACGTGGTCATTTATTTTAGTACCCAAGTGTATGGTAGAGAGGAGGTAGTGAAATAACCACAACGAATTTTAAACAACTGTCAATCAGACAAATTACAGAGTTGGGCTATCTGGACTATCTATCCTAGCTACCACGTCTGATATTACTTACATTTCACACTATTATCGTACATGCAAATTAAGCTCCATCCTCTCGCACCACAAAGGTCACGATTTTTCATCCCTGACCTTGCACACGTACACACACGCACAAATTTACATACATGTCACTTATAAATCACCTTTGACTGAAATGACATAACATTGACTTGTTCAGACCTGTTTTTTGATTGATCGCACATGATATTCTTGTGTTGTTCCTTTGTATTATTCAAACTTGGCTTACACTGTCACGAAACGTCAGAAAATCTAATTTCCCTATCATTGGGGTGATACAAATATATTAATTAATTAATATAGAAATGGGTTTTTGCTACTCACTCTGTATGACATAATACATAAGTAATTCATTTCAAATTTTTTACTAAAAGCCATTTGTTCAATTATTGGTTCATCCCTACTGTTTTATGTATATATATTCAAAATATTTCAAATATTTCATTGAAAAATATTCAACTGAAACGTAAATGTATTTTTTGACTATGTACATTGAAACACGAACAAATGCAAAATAGACAATGAAAGTCAGTCTATTTAGATATTATTTGAAGACAAACAATGTCGATTATAAAGGCCAATCTTTTTAAACTAATCAAAAATCTATCTTTAGTTTTTCTGAGTATTGTTTGGTTTTTAAAAAAATTCAGTAATTATGCTGGTGAACAAAATACACGAAATCATTTCAAAGCCGATATCTTACAATGATAATCATGATAATCAGGAAAATATTCTGATAGATTTATGAAGTTCATTTATTCCAGGTTAAACATGTAAATATCTGTGCATACAATTCGCCTCATCATTTTACTGATAGACATTCAGGTGATTTATACATAAAATTCTCAAATGGTTCTTAATATATCGAACGTACCATAATTAGGATTTAAACAACAACAAAGAGTAGAATGTCATGTTTTTGAATGAACAACATAGCAAAACATGGTTTCAGTATCGTTACAGTATACTTATAGTCATCCAAAACTTGAAGGGAATCGACGAAAAAGGCAACAAAGAAAAACAAAAAAGGCTTACTGTAATTGGTCAGTCGTCATATATGTGCTTGGTGGTTTAATGACGTATTCATTTAGATATATTTTATTTGAATAAATCCCTTGTTCTGTATGAATTCTCACAATAATGAAGTGAATGATGGACTTTGACATTGATTAGAAACAGCGTAAGTAATTCATATAACAAGTTCATAAAAAAATTAACAGATAGAAAATTTCAGTTTGTAGAAAAGTATAATAATAATTTTGAAATATAGACTTATTTTCATCGTTCAAATTCATTGTAATTTCACTAGTGTACTGAGTTATAGCCTCTGGTGTAAGTATTTTTAGGACAGCACCGAATGGAATTAAATTATCGAAGACAGTGAATTCGTTCTACAGAGAGATCGTAGTAAATCGTCTTAGATTCTCAAAAAAAAATTACCCGTAAATCATAACATATAGAGAGCCGAATCAGTATGAGAAAAATCCGATTTTAATATAAAGTTACGAATGTTACAACTCGACAATTCATAAACCAAATTGCAATAATAAATGTAAAAATTAAATTATGCACTACAGATTGTACATATTCTCAACTATTTTTCTCTTGTTTTATAAAAAACAGATTGCTCGTTCAATGCGATGTCCGGCAGCTAAATTTGCAACTCATGTTGTATCTCATTTTTTATTTTTAATATTACTCGCTGCAGCAACGTTCCGTTTAGAAGAGAATTATGATGCATTATTAGACGAACAAATGCTTGGTACTGGGGATGAAGAAACAATACGACAATGGGTACAAAAAAACTTTCGACCATCTAAAGCAATTATAACACATGTTCAAATATGTATTGTATTGTGGGTAGCCGGTAAGTAATTGAACAGTCTTTTTTTCTTCTAAAAACAATATAACTTTTTTTTACAATAAACCTGTGACTAAATCACTACTAAACGACTTTAGTGGGGAAAATATCGGAAAAATAAGGATAAATTTCTCAATAGTGCGTAAAGTGCATGAGATTGAACCAATAAGCTTCGGATCTACTTTTGTATTAGTCAATCTTTAATGATGGTCGAATTCTATCAATTAAGTTGTAACGTAACCAAGTCAAAAAGTAGACACCGGTGGTGTTGTCTTGAATAATCATGAAAGGTTTTTAATCGAACCATCAAGGAACGCAACGTTATCGTAAACATCTATCTTAGTTTCATATCTTCTCCTATAGATGATACTAGAAACCTATGATTTTTAATAAATCACTATATTTCCCTGTTGTATAGTTCTACACGTTGTTTGATAAAAAGAAATTTAATATTTACGGTAAAATTATACAAACTAAGGTTAAAAGTTATTTTTCCATTACTTCTCGATCATAATAAACGCATTTTAGCCACGTTCAGCTGTTCATCATACAACCAAATGTCTCGGGGTCCTTTACTAACTAGAATTATAAGTAGAAATGTATGGTAACAAATTCCGTCAATTTAATTTTTCAAAACATCGTCTAGTTAGTTTGATACGTGAAAGTAACTAAGGCAATAAAACACTCAAATGAATAATAAGTAGTTAGATAATCCCAGTTTATTCACCGCTCTAAATACATAAGTTTTTATCACAATGATATCACTTAGGGTTTGCACTTCTACTTTCTTTTTGTAAAATTATGCATCCACTTACAGACACTATCAAAAACTCAAACACAAGAGACGTTAATTTAATAAACTGATGTCTTTTAAAGATTTTGCATTATTCTCTAAGATGCTTGTCTTCGATTACCGTTTTATAATGCTACAAAATACTAAACTTCAGTCAACCTGCCAATGTTCCTGGCTGTATTTTATTTTAATATTTGTACTTCACTCAGTTATTCTGGTACTTAAATAATGTAAATCTACTCATGTGTAAATCTATCTAATCTGGATTGTTCTAGCGTCATTCAAATGTGTTGTCTACTTACTGAAAGTAAACACTTAAGTATGCTCGTATTAGATTAGAAATAATGACCATTACTGTATTGTAATAAAAGCAAAATTTCTTGGATTCGATCTCCTGATGGGGTCAGGGTATTCATCACCCAAACAAGTATAAAGAGATCTCTCTCTTAATTCTTGTTTTTTTTCTAATACTAACCCGATTTGTTACAAATTTCACTTAAAAATAGGTGTTATTTAAATAACATTATTCGATTATTTTAATTTGATATATTTTAATGACTAGTTGGTTAGCTAATTGACTTATTTACTTAATTGTATCTTTTAATGCATGACCTATATCATATTGTTTACCTGTTTTTTTATTGTTTAATAGGACTACTACTTGCTGATATTAAACATATCTACTTTGCAGGATTCAGGTCTTATATATGTAATGCATATAATTTACTAAATTTTTGTATATTATCCATGTATATTGGTTCGTATACATTACGTATAATTGTTGACCGTTGGGTACGCGAATCAGATCTATTCTTTAATGCAACAACTCAAGTGAATTTTTTATTGCAAACAAATAATAGTATATTAGTACATCAAATGGTACAAAATTGGACACAGTCATGTCATCATGATAAAAGTTATTTTATTACCGCGTGTAAGGTTTTTTCTTGTTTTACTGTTTATTACAATTATGTTAACACTATTTTTATTTAAAGTTATCAGAATAAAAAATGTCTTACTTAGTATTTAATTGGATAATTATTTTTAAATTCACTTGGTGTTGTTTTACTTGTATCTTCCCATTGTTATTTAGGACTCCAATTGATCAGTCTCATGTTGGCATATGTGCAACCTGTGTGGATTGCATCAATATAGCCTTAAGTCACAAGCTTTCTAAACAAAGATGGATAGTGGCTAGCCGTGGAATCCAGGTCATTTAGATTATGAACTGATTTTACTTTGATCATCATTAAAAACCTGGAAGCACTAGACGACCGTTTCATTCTAACATGGGACTTCTCAATAACTCACATTTACAATTCAGCAACCGGGACTAGGACTCATAACCTTCGGTCTCGCAAACGAACACTTAACCTCCAAATCGCCAAAGGGGAATACAATTTTGTCTGATTTGAATTCATTCACAAGCAACTTTTACTGTCTTAGATGGATCGTTAATGAGCAATGCCGAAGAAATGGCTGTTCAGGGCTTTCAGGTTTCTGAATAGTAGTCTGCCTTAGATCAGTTCATGACCTCAACTAAATCTACCGTTCTCTACATTCTTCATACTGACATCTATTTTCTAATACAATATTTCATTCATTTTACTGAATTGCTCTTCTCTATTTTTTTGATTTATTATTAGCCCGATTTCGTTGGAAATATGATGATCCTGAAATTGTATCAGATGTTATGTTTGCAGTAGCTAATGTAGTTAGCTTTGCTCGTACCACGTATTTGATGCCAGCTTTTGAAGCACTAGGTCCATTACAAATTTCATTTACCAGAATGCTTACAGATATTACACGATTTATGGTTCTATATTTATTGGTATGTTAACAAATAGCCAAATCTTTTTAATCAATGATTTTACTTTTTTACTGAAAAGTAAAATTGGAAAAAATTCTACCAGTTTATGATTAAAATAATCAAGTTTAATTATGTTTTCATTTATTGAACAGAGTTCGCTATGACGGTAAAATATTATACATTCATAATTATACGATTTACTGTTTGAAATGATTCAAATTATGAACAAATAATGGAAATCCAAATTAATAATACAAGATTCATCAGTGAGAGGATATTATGAGATAAACGACAGCTAGTATGCACGAACAGATTGATTTCAATTATAATACCACTAAAAACCAAGGAGGATTGAAAAGCTATTTTGTTCTAGTATGGCACTCTTCAACAGTGCATACCCATAAGCCCATCAGGAATCGAACCCAGAACCTTGAAGTATCATGTTAAAGGCTTATTCATCTCAGTCTAGGTGGATCTTCGTATGTACACTGCTTGGGCGTCTAGTATTAGGAAAAAAATGAACCCAGTGATGGTATCTCAGTTAAAATCAATCTCTGGTGAATATAGCCTAAAACCTAAACGGATCTCCACAAAATCGCCTTAACTAAAAGAAATATGCACAACATATTTTGAATATATGCGTAAATCCAACGAAATGCTGTTCGAAAAATGAACAATTTTAATACACGGTTTTACGATCGATCATCTAACAGATAATTACGACAAGATTATACAAATATTCTCCCATTCACCAACATAAAATATTCTCTGTAATTTGTCATAAATTGAGTGTCGTATATTCAAACTGTTTTTCAAATTAAAAACAGGGAATACTGATTTTACAATTCTCAAATTCTAATTTCTGAGGGCATAATGTTCTTAAAATAAAACTTCGTACTTCTACACTCCAGTCTAACACATAAACATTACATTATACTCCCATTATGTCGCTAAATATTTTGTTAAACTAGTAGAAAAGCATGTTAAGGATTACACAAATATATGTACGTTTTTAAAAATGTTTCTATGATTATGGAACATCTCGCTGAAAAAATTATGAAGTTATTGAACATAGATTCAGTTTATTAGTTAGTGAGACAATGAGGTAAATAATCGTAAGCTAAAAAGTACTATACATGTCTGTTTTAATTTATTATATCTTTAAGTCGTTCATATAACATATATAACTAATGATACAACAGCTACTACTAATGTTCTTTGTATCGGTAGTTAGAACATGATACCTCATACTGCAATCACTTCATCGTCAACAGATTATGATCTGAGTGCTTGGAATATTGATTTGACTTCTTATAACTGTTTTGCAACAATAAAACTATGATTAATGAGGGTCCACTAAACTTTCACTATCCTAATTCTTATGTATTCATTAGGATTGGGTTGGATTATCTGTTGAATGGCCGCTTGTAAACATGCTATTTCATTTTTGAAATACAGTATTTATCATATTTGGTTAACCATACTCTCAATTAGTATTTAATAATCAAATATCTTGAATATATGGTTATAACTTGACAAAGTAATATGAACACTTAAAAATGTATTACGTCAACATATGAAGTTTCTTGGAATCACTCAACTTCTGGTTTCAATATACCTTTTCCCGTCAATATTATGATAGGAAACGACTAAAAAGTCCCATTTTCCGAAAAAAACATCTTCCTAGTGTTCTCATAAACATTTTATGACTAAAGTGATCAAATATTGTTTATCGGGCTATTAAAACATTACCTATAGTAGAAGTAAGTTTTCATTTATTATTACTCGTATAAAATCCAGAACTCGTGTTTCGTCCTGTATGTTATGAGAGTGTCCTACTACTAATCAGGATTGAATGACCGTGATAAAGCAGTATAAGGAATTAAAATTGTGATTGACAGTTGATGGTTAGGCTTAGGAACTAGATTTAAGGCCTTCATCACGGACTGATATAAGCTAAAATACCAAAACGCTGTTTAGACAAATGGATGAATGAATTTCACACCAAAACCCAAGACCTGTAATCATATGCCTGATTGATTCGTTCATGAATTATAGTCTCACTTCAACGAGGGATTAGAGTTGACTCAGCCATAATTCATTGAATAACATATACATAACTCAAACAAGGAAAAGAAACTTGTATATATATATATATATATATATATATATATATATCCCCGCCTGTGAATCTCCTGAGGTTAAGGCCAGTCCCAAGCCCGGGAAAAGGTAGAAAATCGGATGTAGGGTAGGCAACAAGACTCCGTAGAAAACAACCTTGTTAAAAAAACGCTAAACCGATTCAAAAATTCAAAAAATTTACACCCTGTCCTCTGAGTTGAAGGAAGAATCGGAATGTCTTGAGATGGAAGCCGAGAACCTGCGGAAGTAACGAGGCCGATGTTCATTCTAACAACCAGAAGTGAGAGAGCGAAACAAAAATGATGAGAGATTTGCAAATCTATGTGTGTTGTGTCTTTATGGCCCGCTAGTTATCACATAATTTATTCGCCAACCAAAATACGACTCATTCGCTCTTATACTGTACTAAACCAATGATGTCCGACCGGTCTGATTAGCCTAGCGTCCTCATGGTTCGTTGCTCACCTAGCCCTTCCAGGTCAGTCCAGAATGCCAACAACAGCCTCCATTAGGCGAATCATTTATTTCAGACATACTGAGTTTATATACCAAACAAACAGACCACAACGCAGCATAAAATATGAAATAACATTTGTACACAATAAAGCCAAAAAGTGGCTGTGAACGTGGGAGGCAGTAGTCAATAAACTGAACATAGCTTAAGAACAGTCAATCCTACAATAATTACATATAGGTCAAAATAAAGCCTATAACAAGTTGAATATAGACATACATAATTTAGTTACTGAATATTTATACCATAAGATCATATAAAAAATATTAGCTCATTAATAGGTCTCAGACGTTACTCGTAATGTAATCTTCACTAGGATATAACAATGTGCACGCGGCACAATATTCCCACACAAACGCATACACAAAGCTACATGGATCTCACTGGACCACACCACAGAGAACCAGGTAGATCACATTTTATCAATAAAATATTCAGAAGGACAGTGGAAGACGTGAGAATCAGGATAGGACCTAACATAGCTTCAGATCACCATCTGGTTGTGGCCAACATGGAACTCGAGCTAAAAGAACACTGAGCAACTGGGGAAACAGCAGTAAAACGGTTCCATACAACCTCCCTTCAATATACTAACAAACTCGACAAATTCAAGATAACTCTCAACAACAGGTTACAAGCCGTACAAGATCTACTCAAAGAATGAGAAACTACTATGAAGAACAATTGGAAAGGGATTACAGAAGCACCGACTTCACGTGTCAGGAGGTTCTGGGCCACAACAAACACAAGCATGAGGAACGGATCTGTATGGAAACCCTGCACAAGATTCAAGATAGGAAGAACAAGAAGACGGTAATTAACAACAGACGAACAAGAGCAGAGGAAGTCGAGGCACAAACTGAATACACTGAAGCAAATAAGCAAGTGAGGTGAAGCATTAGAACAGATAAGCAGAAATACGTGGAAAAGCTAGCAACGACAACGGAAACAGCTGCAAGAGAAGGAAATCTGAAGCAACTAAATGACACTACGAAGAAGCTGGAAGGGAAACATAGAAAGCCAGACAGACCGGTCAGGGACAAACAAGGCAAGTCAAGCACTGAGATTCAACGACGGAGGAACAAGTGGATAGAACACTTTGAAGAACTCTGGGATGAACCATCCCAACTGAACCCACCGAACACGAAAGCAGCACACACAGGTCTTTCTATAGCTGTTACTCCACCAACGACAGAACAAATCAGGATTGCCATCAGACAAATCAAGAGCGGTAAAGCAGCAGGACCTGACGACATACCACCTAAGGCACTGAAGTCAGACATACAAGTATATGCAAACATGCTCCAAAGAAAGTAGATCTGAGCAAATGTGAAAAATACAGGGGAATCACACTAACATCGGTACCAGGAAAATTTTTCAACAGAGTGTTGCTGAACCAGATGGAATACCCAGTAGACGCCCAACTTCGAGATCAACAGACCGGATTGAGTAAGGATCGGACGTGCACAGACGAAGTCCCAACACCACGGACCATTGCTGAGCAACCAATTGAGTGGAGCTTGGCACTATATATCAACCTCACTGAATATGAGAAGGCGATTGACAGTGTGGATATGAGAACATTATGGAGGCATCCTCGACACTATGGAGTACCTGAGAAAACCGTCAAAATCATCCGGAATTCATACGACGAACTACAGTGCAATTCGGTGCATCGAGGACAACTGATAGACCCATTCCATGTGAAGACCGGAATCAGACAAGGTTGACTACTCTAGCCCTTCCTTTTTCTTCTGGTAGTCAACTGGATTATAGAGACCTCAAAATCTGACGGGAAACACGAAATACAATGGACAGCTCGGAATCATCTGGACGATTCGGACTTCGCAAATGATCTGGCCCTTCCATTCCATACACATCTACAAATGCAGGTGAAGACAGCCAGTGTGGCAGAAGCCTCTGCATCTGTAGGCCTAAACATACACATGGGGAAAACCAAGGTCCTCAAATACAACACACACAACACCAATCCAATAACACTTGATGGGGAAGCTGTGGAATCTTTCACGTGCCTGAGAAGCATCATCGACGAACATGGAGGGTCTGATGCAGTCGTGAAGGCAAGGATTGGCAAAGTAAGCTCAGCATTCCTACAGTTCAGGAGTATATGGGACTCAAAACGACTGTCAACCCATATCAAAGTCAGAATCTTCAATACGAACGTCAAGGCAGTTCTTCAAACCTACTGCAACACCAGCAAACATCGCGTGTTGAGATGGGCGGTGGTTGTGTAAGTGTAATATGTTTCTCAACCACCTTAGCTGATGAATATCCACTACCACTTTAGTCAGTTCCCCACCTTGACCTTATACTTGCAACTTAATATTACTCACTCAATTAATTCAATATACTTGAGCAGCATCTGGAGGACATCCATGATCAAATATTGGTAACTTGCGATAATCCTTTATTTTTAAGGATGCGAGTCACAACCATAAAATAGATGTCTTAATGTAAGGAATATACATATGTAATGAAACTGAGGGTATTCTTCATGAAACTACGTATCTAGATTTCTCACGAGTTGCCTGAATGACACACGATCTATAATCAGTGGAGACTAACCGTGTCAAGAGTGGAGCAATTATCTGCCAGTGAGATTAGGTAATAGTTGAGAAATATTCTAAATACGATTAAATTCACTTGGTATTGTTTTGCTTGTATCTTCCCATTTAGGTTTAAGACTGAAATTAATCAGTCTGCTATTGGCATATATGCATACTGTGCGTATGCCTCGATATTGCCTTAATTCACAAGCTTTTATAAGCAAATATGGATAGTGGCTAGCAGTGGAATCCAGGACGCGCGTTTCATCCTGTTTGGGACTCGTCAGCTGGATGTACCTGCATCTCAGAGTTGATGTTCACTTTGGGACTCGAATTCAGTACCGTTCGCTTCAAACGCCATCGCGTTATCTACGAGTCCCAAATAGGACGAAACGCGCGTCCTGGATTCCACTGCTAGCCACTATCCATCTTTGCTTATGAATACGATTAAGTTAGAAATCTAAACCGTCGGGCACCAATTCAAAGAACTAATGGTTAATTACTCGTCATGTATTCTGAGGGTTTTGATTTCGATATTTCGTGAACTCATTTTTCGCATTTTCCATTACATCAGGTGTTGTTTGCATTTATGGTTGGTCTGCATAACCTCTACTGGTATTACGGTTTACAAACATTTAAGACCTATGATGAAGTAACAAATACTACACAGACGCTAGTTGCAACAGAAATGTTCGAAGGGTAAGTTTTCCATTAATATTTCAGGTGTTATATTGTAGTCTAGAACTTCCTATAGTCTGATTGTTTAGAAGAGTAAAACAATAAGATGCTAGTTGTGGTAAAAATATCTCAGTTTTTGAGTTTATGACTGATATTCCATGACAAATCTTCAAGTTTCAATTAATGCTTTATTTCATTTAAGAGTCTATATAAACCTTGTTGATTAGAGCCAAACGACGCAAACTTAAATAATTTAACTTTTCATCTATTCATGGAATGGAATGAAAAACTACGTAACTCATAAAAGTCATGTGCTTAAAAAGAATTCATTGTACGTAGTATTATTGACGGGGAACAATGCAACATCAAGAAATATATGGATCGGTAAAGAAATGCATGTACTTTCCGACACATAAATCTGCATAACACATCACATCATTCTAAATATGTGAACAACTTATTTTCAATTACTCATTTGCTTTTTACAAGTACCAATTAAAGCTACAAATCTTTTAACTTTTTAAAAGCACTATGTAATTTCTCGGGAACCACATAAATAAAAACACTTAATGTTATTTTTCGTAAACTTTAAATGATCAAAAAACCATTAACTTTAAAACTATAAACTACATGAAATTCGTTAGCATTTTGAAAATAAATCTAAAATCATGACGTAATTAAGAATTACAGCAATTTACACATCAATAAAGAATAACTAATGTATTCCAATCTAATGCTTTTTAATGGTAGTATATTTAAAAGAAAGTGTAGATTATTTTCACATATTTCTAACTATTTCCGTACGTTTCAATGAATAGACGTCAGGAGTTCCAGACATTGGTGAATTAATACCAGCCCAAGATTAGAACAAACTTTTTTTGTAAACACAAATGAAAGTTTGAATTTTCTAATAACTAAGGTCCTTTATACCCTAGGTAATTGTTACAGAACACTTTAAAATTTGTTTTGAAATCAATTGTATTATAGCTTTTAAAACGTATAGAAATTAAGTTTATCAGAGTCTCGGCCATTGTGAAACTCAAACCTTCTTTATATTTACAAAAAAATTTCATTTCAACCATAAGTCTGCCCGTATAGTCCAATGTACAGAGCGAACACATCAAATTTTCAGACCAACTCTATCTTCTCATCGTACTAAGCTTAACATTATTTCAATTTTGTATAAATCCTATTTAATTATTTGCCCAAAAGTTATTATTTACTTTCTTTAATGTTGAATGGTCATATATAAGAAATAACACTGATACATAATACATATATCTGCACATATTACAGCCTTAGTCAACAATAAGAATGTTATTTGGATAATATAGCTTACCGATATATTAACTTGAAACGATTTATTTCCTTAAACAGATGTACTTTATCCAATGTGATGTGTTTACCTGGGTATGTTTTTATTAGACGCTATGCGTATACTATTAATTACTTTAATAAAATAGGTGTTCACTGCTATCACATTAAAAAAACGATTTAAAACGTCATAATTTGATTCGCTAGGAGTAATAATAATTGCAGTTAACTTGCTGAAATTTACTGACTATTTTAATATTTAGATTGTATTCTGTTTACTATTTTTTAAAAAGTGTCAAGTAATCATAGCTACTTTAAACTGATTATGGAAAACTAATGTAAGATAATAATGTTTGTGAATAAAAATGACTTAATTCCCTATGGTTGGTATTCAGGATTACAACTGAGTAGCTTTATGTACATGTATATTCAGCTGACTCGTCTCAAATAGGACGAACCACATGTCCTGTATTCAACCGGTATCCACATACCAAATATACCAGTAATGTTTATTATTTGATAAAATGGTTTTCAAGTTCTCGGAATGATTAGTGTGTAATAATGTTCTTCCGCAATTGAATAGATCACATTACAAATGTTATACTATGAGATTCTAATTAGAAATAATTTTGATCATTAACTAACATCCATTTGAGAATTATTTGAACATTGATCCATATGTTTTGTCCGTTTTCGAAACGTCTCAGTAGTCTACAACCCAAAATTCGTGGATTTCAAGACATGCAGTGACTTTAGGGTGGTTCACTGATTCAGCTAATTAAAAAAAATCAATGTTACGATATTGTATCCCAATATCTGAACTCTTCGACTTCCAGCCTAAAATATAGTCATCAGTTGTATTGGTTCACCAAAAATACCTTATTAAAGAAGTCATGTCGTAGTAAATCAAACATTCATAGTTGATGAGGAATTAGTAAATTGTAGACTAACATGGTAATCTAAAATTTTATTCTTAATTTATATTCAGAATTAAACTTATTTTGAAAGTCTTTCGATATATCAGTTCCAATCTCACTGTCCTAAATTAATTGATCAAGGAAATCAAGAAATAATTTTTGTCAACTAAATGAATGACGAAAAATATATGAGCAATCATTAGATGATATATTCTATAATGGTGCTGTTTTGTTCTCTGAGCTGGTTGGTTTGTCCATAAATTTTTCATTATTTTTTTCGACAACAACATCAGCAACAGCACACACTTCATACCCCATGATTAAACCATCCAGCTCGGAGAATGAAACACTCGAACTCTTCATCCTCAGATACATACACTCTTCACTGTCTTTTTAAACATTTTGAAACATTTTAAAATCACCATTTCTAACTATTATAGTTCTTTTACGTTTTATTTATGTTACACTTGTTAATACATTTTATAGTAGTATTGTTGAACTTGTTTTTCTAGATCTTTCATATAAACCTAGTAGGTTTACATTTTTAAAAAAAACTATTATTTTTCAAAATAAATTATTAAAAATCTAAACTGCCATCATTAATTACCTTTTTCTCATTTTCACTTATCTATTTTTGCAGACTTCGTCATACACTGTACAGTTTATTCTGGTCAATGTTTAGTCAAGTCAGTATTAGTAAATTACCGATTCGTAAACCAGGTAAGTTATTTTTTATTAACAATAATTCATTGAATTTAAACGTTTACATCCATATAAATTGTTCTTTTCGAAACTTAACACTCTTAATAATTATTCTTAGAATGAAAATGTATGGGTTTCCGGTTGGTTAAGAAAGATTTAACAACACTATCTTATAAATATTGGTAGCGCTATGATGTTATTAGTGTATTAACCACTTGTCATCACTGATTGATAAAATGAACAAAAATGAGGCTTGATAATCAAGTTTTAATTCTATTTATTAACGAATGATCAACACTAGCAGATCATATATATATATATATATACCATTGATATATGCTGTGTCTCTAAAACACACACACAGGATCTTAGTGTGGTCATTCTCTTGGCCTCACCTCGCCAAAACGGAGAACCGACGAGATGCATCCTCCGTGTATCTGGCGACCCAATGGCTAGTTCTTGTGGACTGGCGGGTGTAGGCATAGCACTGAGTACGAGGGCAGAACAAGCACTATTAGAATGGATCCCTGTTAACAGTCAACTATGTGCTGTTCGGGTAAAAGGCTCCGTAAAAACTTGGAAGGATAGGGACACACACCGTTGCCTTTTCATCATTCCTGCCTACGCTCTCATTGACTGCAGCCCGGATGAAATGAAAGATGACTTCCAGAAAGCTTTCCGTACTTCTTCATAATGCCAAACACTCAGACATAGTACTCGTAGCAGGTGACTTTAATGTCCAAGTAGGTAGCTTAAATCAAACAGGAAGAAATTCAGGTGGGCATTTCAGAATTCCGGCTCAGCGAACAGATATTGGTGATCGTCTCCTGCAACGGTGCTCACATAACCGTTTATTTTTAGCAAGCTGTAATTTCAGGCATAAGGAGAGACATCGTTTAACATGGCGATCGCCTGCACCAAACCAACGATAGATTCAAATAGACCATACTGTCATCAGTCATCGTTGGAGAGACTCGATAGAAGACTGCCGCTCGTTCTGTAGTACATATTTAGACTGGTTATTATCTAATAATAGCATGCATTCGCTTGCGCCTCAGTGGATGCAGAAAATCCACATTAAGAAGACCCATTAGAGTTGAACTCAGTGGCGAGAAAGCCAAAGTAGATTCCAGGAACAACTGACGTCACAGGCCATTCTGAAAACGAGACTGACCCAGATGTTGCTTGGAATGATATACGAACAGCTGAGGAAACGGCAACGGCATATATTAGTGATTTGAACCAAAAGGTCACGAAAAACAGATGGATTCCTACTTAGTCTATTGCACTGATAGATTCTCGTAAACTTATCCCCCCAGGCTCTGAGCACGATGAAGTGCGTAAAGAAATTTGGTCTAGGTTAACCAAAAATCTGAGGAACGACCATGAGCAGTGATGGGCAACGAAAGCAAAAGAGATGGAAAAGGCAGCGGCTCTACGTAACATCAGACAGCTTATTAGACTAATAGACAAACTGGAATTAAGAAGTCAAGTGTGAGACGATCTCAGAGAAAGACGACACTCTTGTGTGCTCTCAGTCCAGACGTTTAGACCGACGGGCGGAACACTTTAAGGAGAAGTTCAGCTGGCCTTCAGCTACTCTAAAAATACCTGAATGGAACATTGAAGTAGGCCCCCTGATCCCAATTGAAGTTCAAGTAGACATAGCTAATTTAAAGTCGAGGAAGAGCAGCTGGTTCAGATAGATTGGCTCCAGAGTTCTCTAGGCATGGCTGTCCTGTTTTAGCGATTAGTTTGACTAATATTTGAGCTAAAATCTGGGAGTTGGACGCAATCCCATCTGACTGGTTGCAATCACTGATTGTCCCAATATATAAGAAACGGTCAAAATCACCCTGTAATATCCATAGAGGGATTAGTTTGAGTAACATAGCATCTAAAACCCTAAGCAGGATGTTTGGGATGCGTTTCTCCCCCTCTAAATGCAAGTTGTTGCTTCAGCACTGGCCTGCGTCAACAGCTGAACTGAGGATAGAGAGTGAAGCCTGATCAGCCCTAATTGATTGGTGTCTGACGAAATATCTGCACGGATTCAGAAAGCTCTTTTGGCTTTTGCCAACTTACGTCACTTATGGTGAAGGCGAGATATCTGTCTATCAATAAAAGGACAAGTATACTGCGCGGCAGTAAGTTCTGTTTTAATTTACGGCAGCGAAACATGGCCATTAAGAGTAGAAGATAATCGTAAGCTACTAGTATTTGACCACAGATACCTTAGAAATATTGCTGGCGTCTGCTGGGATCACCGGGTAAGTAATAGTGAGGTTAGACGCAGGGTATTAGGGAATGATGGTAAGTCAGTTGATGAGGTTGTAAATCTTCATCGACTGAGTTTATTGGGCTATGTGTTACGTATGCCTGAACACCGATTACCACGACGCCCGCTGCTGATTAGTGTTTGGGACGGTTGGAAGAAAGTTAGGGGCGGCCAAACCAAAACGTGGCATCAGTCCTTCAAGTCACTAACGTCTGCTCTGAGCCGCGTTGGTAGATGTAAACTACTAGGTTGGGGTCTGCGCGACTACCGTAAGCAATGGGTGTAGACTTGGTGACATGGCTTAGAATCGATTACAATGGAGTAGGCGTATACACTATTTGTCCTTTTTTAAACAATGAGATTAAAAGTGCTTTATATCTTTCTTTCTAAGAACTAATTCTCTCTTCCTGTATTATATCCTTATACACAATCTTTCTTTTATATATTACTACTATTGAAGTAACTACTTCTATGAATTTGGTGTTCATCTTGTTGTGCTAATGAGATGTGGCAACTTGGACTGATGCATATATGTGCCTGATCCTACGTTGTAGCTGACTGACTGACTGACTGACTGACTGACTGACTGACTGACTGACATCATCCAATTAATATACTGTCAGTTTACTGTTGTTAAGTGTAACATCTTAGACATACATCTATAAATTCGAGGTCCTACACTATTTATAATTTAATAACTATTATATATTGATATATATTGAGTAAAACTACAATCATACCTTCGATACAACTCTTCGTTGATAATATTCAAAGTCTAATCCCTTTAAAACAATAAACGATGATGACAAATAACCAACATTAAGTACAATCATTTAAACCTTCTTAGTCTGATATACCCTTCTAAGAGTCACTCTGAATTTAACTGTATTCATCAAATGACTAAATTTATCCAAAATTCACTAATAGCTTAATTAGAATATCGAATTTATAGTTAATTAGAACTCATGACAAGATAGGTAAATATTTCTCGTATTAATTAAGTATAGGCTTCGTTCAATATAACAAGTGTGAATGTTAGCTCAGTCTAGCTTCAACTGACTCATGATTTCAATCCGTGAAAATTTCTAAAATCTCCACAAACCCCTTCTGATAATAATCATCTGCTCACTAGTGACTGACTTCAAGATTTTCTGTTTGACGAGATAATTTACTCCGTATATATAGTTATATGGAAAATATATGTCTATAGAAGGATAGAAAAGACTGCATCATAAATTGATTCGAGACTAAATAACAAATGAGGTTACGTACTAATCAAGGGGTAAGGAAGAAAATAATTTATGGGTCAGATAATTGTCCAATCGACAGATATAAATAAAAACGACAAACATAAAGGTCATAATAATAACTTATTAAAGTTTAAAATTGCGAAACAAAAATTTAAAAAATTCAATAATAATCAAATAAAAGTGAAGAAGAAAGTAAAAAACCCGAAACACCAGTAAAGGGAATTAGGGCCAAGAAATTATGATAGGTTGGACGAATCGTTTCTGTACGCAAAGTTCGGGCTTGAGTTCGTGGATTGCCTATGCCTCAATAGTGCATGGAATATTGATTCGATATCTGTTCTATCCAATTCCTTTGACTGTGTAGGTTACTTTGGAGCGATGTGTCCACAGTTGATTAAATGCTCCCGTATAAAACTAGTAATTGTTTTTCATTCTCCTTTTAAAAGCCATGCCGGATAGTGTTCTGAGATGCGTTTGGAAAGTGGTCGCTTTATGCGGCCATTGTAACCTGCCCCACATGAGCAAGAAAATTTATAGATGCACATTGATGTGGCCCAAATCGGAAGTCTATCCTTAACACATTCATGAATGGTAGGCCGGGCTTGAGAAAACAATTCGGAGCTTAGCTGTGTAGAACGTTTTATTCAATGATTTAGAAATTTGTTTATCTGACCCATAAACGATTTTCTTCCTTGCCCCTCATTTGTTATTGAATCTCGAATCAATTTATGGTGCAATATTTTCTATCCTCCTATAGATAAATATTTTTCATATAACTATATATAAGAATGTACAGCTTAAGTAAATCATTTCGTCGAAAGGAAAAGTTCCTTCGCTGAATTCTCTTTTTTTTATATTCCCCGTATCAATCCAGGTGAGCTATATTTATGAAGTGTGTTTAAAATTTAGTACAAAAATGATTGTATTTCAGCATACTTACGTGATTTTGAAACTTGTTTGGGAAAGTGTTTTTAGAGAGCCAATAAATCTGCATTGCACTAATTTTCATATTATTACTTTGTGTCATGGGAATTACAATGGTTCCCTTTAGAATTTATAAATAATAAGATCGAAGAATTGTAGTGGTTCCCATTCGTTAAGTATAAACAGATAGACTACAGATCCAACTGAGTCAATTCGTACATCACAACAGCGTACCCGCTGGCATAACAGAAATGACCTATCTTCTGACAAAATAGTTACTATAAACCATAAATATTCTTACAATTCTGTCTACTGATTTGTTTGTCAAAAGTATTTGTATATCATATATGTAAAATTTAATTCACTTGAATCGACCTAACTACGTTAATACTTGAAAGTGAAAACTGGTGAAAAATAAATAAATTGCTTCCTTAATAAGTTTTACTCCATTGAGCTGTAGAAGTCTCTTGAACAGTTTGGCCGCATATATATATATATATATATATATATATATATATATATATATATATATATATGTATATGTATATATATATATATATATATATATATATATTGTAGCGAACATTGTTAGCCCCAATATAACTGAATGATATAAATGCTAGTAAATTATCTAAATTCGTATATCCTCAGTCGACTGATTATGTTAACACAACTTTGAAATGAAAATTCGAATATGAGTAGTATTTAGGACATGTATAATTTAGACAACCATCCACGCAGGTAAACTGAACTAGTAAATATACAAACGGAATAGATTCATGCAATAGATTCAGACAGGAGTAGTAGTATCTGTAAAAACCCATTCAATGAATAACGGGTGATTTAGCCTTTATAATTAGGTAAATAAGGTATACATTATTGATAACCAATTATAGTGTAGGTCTCAGACAAATAATGGGAGGATAACAGTAAGCAGTCAACACGAGCATGGATATGAAAATAGATCCGTAATAATGTAGATAGTTCTAAATAGTGACGTATGCAAAAAACAATCAATTATATATATATATATTGAGAGAGTGAAAGTGAAAGTGGATAAATGGTAGGTTGGCAATATCATGTTACCGTTCAATTTAACTTTTTATTATGTACAATAGATATGACGGATTTGCATATTTTATATTTGACAACAACAGATCAAGCTGAACATAAATACACAGATGGTATGATTGACACTGATTCACCGACAACAATTGTTGATAGTGTCGGTATGGTACTATTTGCTGTGTATCATGGTATTATAATCATTGTATTGGTCAACATGTTAATTGCTATGATGAGTCATTCATTTGAAAGTATTCAGGTAAAATTTTGCATGAATTCCTAGTATCTTTTAATTTCTACAAGTGTCATTTGATTTAAAATTTTTATTTGAATATAACAATCAACACCTAGTTGGGTTGTCAATTGAGATCAGTTCAGTTTTGTGTTTGATACAAAAAACCAATAAATGTTGGATAAAATTCAAACGTTCGACGCAGGATGCAGACAGTCCTTGCTTCAACCTCTGTTGAGGTTAATGTGTATATCGCCGAACTGTCCTAAACTAAGACTTTAAATATCATAACCATAGGTGTTTAATTTTGTTACGTCCTTGACCTGTGTACCTAATAATATACAGAAGATAACTTGAATCTGTCCAAATTAATTCCTTGAACGATAGGCTAACTGGTTTAACCTTGAGGTTAGAAATGAGTGAGTCTGAATTGAGACTAAGTGCTCTAGATAGAGAGATGAAAACTATTCTGTCGTCTGATTGGTTGACAGGTGCGTGAGAAAAACGAGTAAACTGGAACACTAATCGATTTATTCACGATTCCGATTCCAATTTCGATTCGGATTGATGTAAAAAGATAAATGAGTAAATAGATGACTAAAATGACCACAACGCACAACAATTAGATCTCAATTAAAAACTTAACAATCTTCACAATCCTCTACTGATAATTGCCATGTACTCACTAGTGACTAGCTTCAAGATAGAATTTCTGGAACTCTAGTGAGAAGTCGTTACTAGTGGAGTTCACCCGCGTCTGTTGTGAGGCAGTTACTCACTGAAGACAATGGTGGACGGTAGCGCAATATCGTGGATTAGTTGAAGTGACACATTATTACCGTTTGATGCCGGCCCATTGGTCTAGGGGTTGAGCGTTCGCGCGCGACACCGAAGGTCCTGGGTTCGATTACCGCGTGTTGAATCGCAGATGCTCACTGTTGAGGAGTTCGATACCAAGACGAAACGACCGTCTACTGCTTCCAAGTTCCCACTGGTGGTCTAACAATGGTCAGTTCATCATCTCTTGTATTTGGCATTAGTACCTATGGTTATTAATTAAAAGATGTTGACAATTGAAAGTGACTCGTATTTTAATAAGTATTGGTATCCTAACAAATGATATAAATTTAAATATAACCGATTAAAGTCTCAGAACATTTCAGTGATCATGATGAAACTAAATGAGAATTCGTTACATTCATTTTAAAAATGCAAGCAGATAGAATAAAATTTTTTGATATAACTGAAACCAGTTGCTAGATTATGCTAAAAAAGAATTGCTGTAGTCACTCGCATAAAAAAATGTTCAATGAAACCTGCCACATAGATCATGCGGCTAACAGAAATTTTATTAATATATCTTTATTTTACTATAAGTTGATAATACATACCGCGTTATTAATTCACTAAACATTTTTGGAATTTGTCCATAATAAAACAACACACCAATGAATACTTCAGAAAACTAATCATAAGGGGCTCAGTTTTCTGATAGCTCATATTAGTGAGATATTACATGGAAATGATATCACCTATGAACAGTTGCATATTACAAACTAGACCATAAGTGACTGATATGTCGAGTATTTAATAGTGCTAGACAGAACAAGATTAATAAATGAAAGACTTGTTGTTTGTTGTCTAAACTGCACATCTGTCTCATGCTAGTACGAGACTCCACTGGAGATCGAGCTAAGCGTAACATCCAGAACTCCTAGAACTCTGGATTAAGCTTCTGTATAGAAGGTTCATATGAAAATTTAGCACCAGCTATGCTAAATAATCCAGAACAGACTAAGTAAGTGTTACTAGCTGAAAATGAAGATGCGTATAAAATGTATAAAAGCACAATACTTGAACAGTTTTACCTACATCTATATACCCACAAAACTGGATGGGATCATACTAAGAAATTAATAGTATTAATAGTTAAGTATAATACAAAAAATCACTTTCCAATAAAAAATGAAGTGTTCTTGCTCATCAAGGAACAAAATTCTATCTCAAAATTAGATCAGTTCAGTCCGGTTCAGAGATGAGCGACACTCTACATTCCCAACAAATAGGAAACGAAGTTTTTATCCCTTGGGGATGAATCAAATTAAACCAGAATCATTAAAAATACGGTTAGCCAATTATGTTAATTAAAACTAAGTTAGCACAGCTAGTATAAATCCTAATGACATGAAGGAATAGGTTAAAAAGCGATAATAACTGAAAAGAAATCAAAGGTGAACGCTATATTCCCAAATACAGAAAAATAGGAAAGCAACGTCAAATGAAAGGTGGAACAAAGAAATACTATCACATGGTGAACATGCGTGGAGGGATTTTCACACTGAAGCACACATGTGCATTGAAAACACGATTTTACCCCCAAAATGTTTTGGTTTCGCATCGAGCGCTTAACCTCTAAACCAATTAATTCACACCCGATACTATATATTTCTAACTTCAGCTAATTCGCGCAGCCATCTTCCATTTTAGTAACTCCATGACTTTCAACTTGGTAACAGCTTCTCACTAGAACACTCTCAAAAAAGATGTTTAGTGCTTCCTGGGTTTTCATAGTTGTCTAGCTACAGTCATTCTATAGTATATACTTCAATTCTTGGAAATCATCTAAATAAACATTATTTCTATAGCTTGGTTATGATAATAAATGGAAGATTCTTCAAATATAAAACAACACTGAATATATGTAATGAGCAAGTTTACATCTTTCAACACAGGTAGTTATTTGGTCAGAACCATGGTACCCAACAGACGATGAAATGAAAATTAACTACACATTGTACAACGGCTTCCCAAAATCATTTTATAAAACAATATTACACATTTTATTTCAAATGAGACTAATTTGACAAGAGTAGCTAGCTGACTAATTTACAATTAAGAGTTTAGAGTTTTGGAGATTGTTTAGTTTTCATTGAGACCATGAACTGATCAATGCTAGATCACCGTTTGAAGAATTGATCGTTCATGATGTCAATAAGTAATCAGCAATCTCAAAAACCCCACATTGATAACGTTCATGTGCTCACAAGTGTCTACCTTCGACAGATGATTCTCGTAGTTCTAGTGAGAAGCCGTGACAAGTGTAGTCAACCATGTCAGGTGTGAGGCAGTTACCCACCGTAAAAAATAGAAGAGGGTCACACAATGTCGTGGATTGATTAGAGTTATACATTCACACCGTTGGATGACGACCAGAAGATTGTCGCGAGACTGACGGTGCTGGGTTCGAGTCCGTGTGCGGGATTGTGAACGCGCACTGCTAAGTAATCTCCAGAACCCTATACTGATAATTACCGTGTGCTCACTAGTGACTAGCTTCGTGAGGGAATTCTCGGAGTTATAGTGAGAAGCCGTAAGCAGTGGAGCTAATCAGTGTCGGGTAGAAACATGTGTCTACCTCAGTACAATGGACGATGTTCGCTCAATTTCGTGGATTGGTTGAGGTTAGACATTAACACGGTCAGATGTCGACTTAGTGGTGTAGAGGTTAAGCTTTCGCGCGAGAGAGTGATAGGTGCTGTGTTGGAATCTCGCTGGGCGGGATCGTGGATGCGCACTGCTGAGGAGTCCCACAATAGGGCGATACGGCCGTCCAGTTCTTCCAGGTTTTCCATGGTGGTCTAGCTTCAATTGACTCATGATCTCAAAAAATGGAATTAACTAATAATTTTGAAATAGTCAATCAGAATATCGGAACTAATGTCACATGATAGTCTAGTATATAGAAAGATATACTACCGTAAAATTTTCAAAAATTCGTTGTATTCACAGAGGAATATGTGGTATGAAGTGCAGTTAAGCTACTGTTGTTACAAATTTAAAATCCTAACCGATATTGTTAATATTATCATTATATCAATGATTAAAACCACTGAATAAAATGGGTCATAGCTTCATTGGCAATATTTACAATCTCGTCATCCCTAAGACTGTTTTGTTGATAAATATTATCAAAAAACTAACCAAAAGTAATACTTCACTGTCCATGGGTTGTTTTCCCCAACTGAATAACAACTAATATGGCTTCTAAATTTAATGACGCATATTATTGACATAAGCTGCAATCGCTTACCTCTTATAAACTACATCATTGCTGGAAAGGGTTTGAATTATCTCTTTGTTGATTTTCTTGACCGAATTTCGATCGTCTTCTGATGAAATGTCGGTATCTTGTGTCATTCACCTAGATACAACAACTCTGTCACAAGTTTCATATAACGGATGAATAATGGCTATCATTGGGATCTACGACGTGTGTGTTGTCTAATTTTTAATTAGTTAGATCTTTGTAATGACGCATACGTCACACAAATCGGACAAGTTAGTGACTACCTTTGTGGTGTGAGCTACTTATATTGATATGAGTAGTATATAACGTGAGTTAAAAGAACGTGATGTCTGGCAGCAGAAAATGGGGAAGATGAAGAAAGAAAGAGCGAGAACACAATGGAATTTGTAAGAAAACGCATGAACAATGGAATGGGAGACAATGGGTTGGTGTTTGCAACAGAAACAGTTCAGTTTGGTTTGATGCATGAATATTTTTGCAAATTGACAATTTACTATATGGTATTCAGACTTTATTGGGATAGTCTGTAATTGTAGTGTTAAGTACATTCAATTGGCTTCACTCGTGTTCTGTTCACTACACCTTGACTCAGTGGATAACGCTTTATGTCTTTAAACAAAAGATATAGGGTTCGAGTCACAGAGTGAACGTCAACACTGGATGTGATCTAGAAGTTGATTGAAATTGGACAAATTCATCTTTACTTTCATCAGTCTTTATCACAACTTGAAACGTTAAATTATCGAAATTTAAAATACAATTCACTATGAAAGAAGTAATCAGTATCCACTTTCGTTAAGACATCTTGGTATTATTTGCTTGTATCTTCCCATTACTGTTTAGGACTGCAATTGATCAGTCTCTTGTCGGTATATGTGAATCCTGTACGGACTGCCTCAATATTGCTTTAAGTCACAAGCTTTCTAAGCAAAGATTGATAGTGGCTAGCAGTGGAATCCAGGATACGCGTTTCCTCCTATTTGGAACTCGTCAGCTAGATGTACTATTACAAGGAATCCGTAACTAGTTAAAAATGTTAATTTTCTGTTTCGAATGTCTGAAAAATTGAGATTATATTTAACGACTATTGTAAGCATCAAAAAGGTGAAACATTCCACTGAAAAGTTTATTAAATACAACCCTGATGTCAGTTCATCATTAGTACTAATTTCTAGGTTAAGTTATCGAAATTCGGTTATCTCAAGGCCATCTGGAGTTGCATAGTCCTCCCAGTGAAAGAATATCAAATAAACTTATGTGTTCTGTAAAGACCCCATAACGATTTATTTCTCTTTACCTGTCATATCAATTTTTATTATTTTAGGAAGATTGTGATGTTGAATGGAAATTTGCAAGAACTCAACTATGGTTAAATTATATTGATAATGGTAGTACATTACCAGTACCATTTAATGTGATACCAACTCCGCACAGTGTTGCAAACGCAATAAAATTTATGCGTAATATTTTTAAAGATGAAGTTGGATTTGTCAGTGGAAATATACGAAGTACAGATTTTGTCAAAGTAAGTAACGTAAAATGTATGGTAATTGTTTTTTTCAGAAGTTCTAAGAAATAATAGATGGTATTTTCTCTGTAAATTGCACTCCTCTGTATTGATAATAACTAACACTGAGGTATTCTATATTTTAAACTGGTTTTCTAGTACTTATTGGTTGTACAAACTGTAAATTATCGAATGATAATTTTACAGTATTTTTTTCTTTACCAAATTCAATTATATAATCAGCATGCATAACAGTTACTGATACTGGAAACTGAACAAAAATTTATGATTGATCCAAGTAATTTATGTTCAGCAGAGATAGTGAATTATTTAAATTTGAATCAGTCATAGTGATCAGTTATTGTGAAATCTAATAAATTGATATGTATCAGTATAAGGGTTGTGGAGATTCTTAAGTTTTTGATTGAGATCATGAACCGATCAATGTTGGACCACCATTAAAAACCTGGAAGCACTGGTCGGCCGTTTCGTCCTATTGTGGGACTCTTCAGCAGTGCGCATCCACGATCCCGCCCAGCGAGATTCCAACACAGCACCTATCACTCTCTCGCGCGAAAGCTTAACCTCTACACCACTAAGTCGACATCTGACCGTGTTAATGTCTAACCTCAACCAATCCACGAAATTGAGCGAACATCGTCCATTGTACTGAGGTAGACACATGTTTCTACCCGACACTGATTAGCTTCACTAATCACAGCCTCTCACCACAATAGGACGAAATGGCCGTCCAGTACTTCCAAGTTTTCAGTGGTGGTCTAACATGAATCGGTTCATGATCTAAATAAAAAAATTGATATGTATTTATCGGGTAAATTAATCATCTTTTATGTCTACCAAATGAGACACTTTTTTCTCATAAATATTTCTTTATTCACCATACCAATTTAAACACACATGAATATTATTATTTACTTCTTTTTCCCCTTCTCTCTCACTCTAAGTATTCTGTTGCTTTTTTCTTCTATTCTCTCTTTGTGGTTATTAAAACTTAAATACCTTAAATTTTATGGAGATGGTTGTTAGTTTTATACGAATATTCGTCAAGATTTGAACGAATAGTTTGACAGTAATTGAACGCCGAGTATAGAGAAGTCATTATATGTGAAAATTATATTTGAAATATTCTCAGCGATTGAAATTTAACTAATTCCAACGTTTCGTCCAGCTAACTTGTCTGGACTTCTTCAGGGTAGTAATCAAAATCAATATTATCAAAGAAATATATAGCTTTTAACAATCAGGATTATACTGTGTTAAACCAATCATATTTGGATGTTGATTTTTTGTAAAATAGGATAAAATGAGTCAGTTAACTACAAATCATGTGAAAAAATCAACTACATGGAAATACTTAACTGAGTAACAAATCGTATGTGTGTGTGTGTGTAGGTATGTATGTATGTGTGAGAGATTGATATGAAGGAATAAATAAAGTTCAAGTTCAAGGATGAAAAATTGATAATGAAAGATCGATGTGCATGTCAAAACATAAATTGTATTGTTTAAAAACTCATTCAGTTCTTTCAAAAAAATAACGATGCATGTGATATTAAAAACAGGTTTAAACAAGAGATAGGTTCCAAATTTACTTGTCAAACGAAATTTGCCAGGTAGTTGCCATTTGAATACCATCTTTTCGGTTCAGGCTGTTCTTGTTCGCCCATATATGCAGAGCTTCTGCTGTCAATCTTTCTTTATGGGTGTTAAAACCTTTCTGAAGTATTTTGGTCCCTTCAAAATTAATCTTGTGTCCTGTTTCTAACGCATGTAACGCTATCGCTGACTTATTTTCAAGTTTCTTTAAATCTACCGAGGATTTTGGAACATTTTTCAAGCATTGTTTGTGTTCCTTCAATCTTACATTTAATTGCCTGGATGTTTCTCCAACATAGGTAGCATTACAGTCATGACAGTGAATCTCATACACAATGTTCTGTTGTTCTTCCTTTGCTAACTTGTCCTTAACTTTCACCAATGTCGATCTTAATGTGTTATTTGCTCTAAAATACACTCTTATATCATGTTTGTTTAGAATCCGTTTGATTTCTTCTGATGTTTCACTCCGGTAAGGTATGACTACGGTGTACTTCCATTCTTTTCGTATACTTTCTAGTTTAGTTTTTCTTTCATTTTTAATAATCTTTTTTAAAAACCTTTTTGGGTAGTTGTTATCCCTAAGAGTAGAAAATACTTTATTTAATTCGGTTCGTTGGTCTTCCTTGTCTGTAACAATCTTAGTACTTCTGTTCATTAGATTTTTTACCACATTAATTTTCGTGCTCTGTGAATGGGCTGAATTAAAATCCAAGTATCTCTCGGAATGCGTTGATTTTCTGTAAACATTTATTTTTAACTTCTTATTATTGTGTCGACGTTCAACCAGACAATCTAGAAATGCTAGTTTGTGGTCAACTGATTCTAATTCCTTAGTTAGTTTAATGTTTTCAGAAATGCTGTTTGCATTGTTAAATAGTTCTTCCATACCATCCCGTTTATTGATAATAAAAATATCGTCTACATACCTTAACCATAACTTTGGTGGACATAAACTCTTTGCGATTGCACTAGTTTCTAGGGAATGCATGAATAAATTCGCTACAATCGGAGAAACTGGTGAGCCCATTGCTATACCCTCTTTCTGTCTGTAAAGTTGACCTCGAAATATGAATAAGGTAGATCTTAAACATAATTCTAAGCATTTTATAACCTCTGATGGATCTAATGGGCATCGTAAATTCAAATCTAAATCAAGTTAGCAAAGGAAGAACAACAGAACATTGTGTATGAGATTCACTGTCATGACTGTAATGCTACCTATGTTGGAGAAACATCCAGGAAATTAAATGTAAGATTGAAGGAACACAAACAATGCTTGAAAAATGTTCCAAAATCCTCGGTCGATTTAAGGAAACTTGAAAATAAGTCAGCGATAGCGTTACATGCGTTAGAAACAGGACACAAGATTAATTTTGAAGGGACCAAAATACTTCAGAAAGGTTTTAACACCCATAAAGAAAGATTGACAGCAGAAGCGCTGCATGTATGGACGAACAAGAACAGCCTGAACCGAAAAGATGGTAATCAACTGGCAACTACCTGGCAAATTTCGTTTGACAAGTAAAATTCGGAACCTATCTTTTGTTTAAACCTGTTTTTTAATATCACATGCATCGTTATTTTTTAAAGAACTCAATGAGTTTTTTAAACAATACAATTTATGTTTTGACATGTACATCGATGTTTCATTATCAATTTTTCATCCTTGAACTTGAACTTTATTTATTCCTTCATATCAATCTCTCACACATACATACATACCTACACACACACACACATACGATTTGTTACTAAGTATTTCCATGTAGTTGATTTTTTCACATGATTTCTAGTTAACTGACTCATTTGATCCTATTTTACAAAAAATCAACATCAGAATATGATTGGTTTAACACAGTACAATCCTGATTGTTAAAAGCTATATATTTCTTTGATAATATTGATTTTGATTACTACCCTGAAGAAGTCCAGACAAGTTAGCTGGACGAAACGTTGGAATTAGTTAAATTTCAATCGCTGAGAATATTTCAAATATAATTTTCACATATAATGGCTGTTAGTTCTATTTATCCTTCCGTAATTTCTTTGTATGAATATGTATGAGTACGTGTGACTAGACCTAATTGTCCTAAACACGTTAATTAACATCTCTACTTCACCCTTTCCATCTCCCTCGTATCGCAACCACCCACCCACCTAAACACACCCATATATAAGTGTAAAACTAAAAAAGAGGATTAATCTTAGTGATCGCTTCATTTTCTCTCACTATTTCTCTCGTCTTGTTAATGATTCTGCGCGCAATATAATTATATTATTATTATTAATACCATGATTAAAATTGTGTTTGTTGGTATTCTGTTAGTGTAGTAATAATAATAATAACATTATAATAACAGTGTGAATAAAGTTATTGACAATGCAAACGTAAATATACTAATTTTATAGGCCCAAAAATCAATCACTGAAAGTGTATAACAGTATGCAAAGGAAAAAAACACTAATCGTCCGAAAAAAACTATACGACGACGACGATATTGCAAATGTATAGTGATTATAAAACGGTTAAAAATAAATAAATGAGTAAGTAAATGTAAGAAAATGACAGATAGATAGGTAGATAAATATACGTTCCGTTTCTTTATCCCAAATTGGAACTTTTTACACTTTAAATAAATGATCGTGAAGAGCGAATGAGTCTTAATCCCGATATTTTTGATGGGTAAAAATTTAGAAAAAAACAATACAACTTGTTGTTAAATACCGAAATTTATTGTCACCATTATTGTTTAACTTAATAGGTGCACAGAAATTTCCCATCTAAAATAAATACGACATTGTTCTGTACTACTTGTATCTTCATATCATCGACATTCTAATGACCATTGTCATTTTAAAAAATTTAGTGAATGTAGGTGATTGAAAATAAAAATCAACTAGGTTAGCCTTATATTACTACTTCCTCCCTCTTCTTTTTCTTGCTTTTCAGAGGAATAGTAAATATATTAGTTAGTGTTTTTACTTTCCCGTTGTTTATATTCCAAACTCAAACTGATCTATCTCTGTTGATATAATATATATCTTGAAAACTAAGCCTCAACATAGCGGATAGTTAAATTAGATAATGAATTATCTAATCGTTTGATATGTTTTCAAAAACCAGTAAATACAAATCAACGAAATTTTAGTGTCTAGACTAAATAATTCTGACAAATCATAACCTTAATTATCAACCATTATGTCATAGGACTACGGTATTAAATATACATTTTATTATCCTTCGTCATTTCTGTAATATTTATTTATCCAAATTCTATTTGAGACTGATCCAATCATCGTGAGGTTTCATAGTAAGTAAAATTCCATGTTGCTAGTTCGTGTAAATATAATGAACTACATTTTCAAGTCTGGTTATATTATGATGTTGGTGAGATATA